CCCAGCAGCCGCAGCAGCAGCAGCAGCAGCAGCAGCAGCAGCAGCAGCAGCAGCAGCAGCAGGAGCGCAGTCAGAAGGCCGCGCGCTGGGCCATTTCGAGCGCCCTGGCCTTGACCTCCTGGAGGCCGCCGCACATGTAGAAGGCGGCCTCGGGAAGCTCGTCCGCCTGCCCCGAAAGAATGAACTCAGCAGCAGCCACGGTGTCCTCGACCTCGACGAACTTGCCCGGCTTCCCCGTGAAAACCTCCGCAACGGCGAAGGGCTGCGAGAGAAAACGCTGCAGCTTGCGGGCCCGCGAGACGGTGAGGCGGTCGCCCTCGCCGAGCTCCTCCAGGCCGAGGATGGCGATGATGTCCTGCAGGCCGCTGTACTCCTGCAGCAGCTGCTGCGCGCGGCGCGCGGCGGCGTAGTGCTGCGCGCCGACTGCAGCGGGCTGCAGCAGCCTGCTGCTGCTGTCCAGCGGGTCCACGGCGGGGTAAATGCCCAGCTCGCTGATCTTCCGCGACAGCACTGTGGTGGCGTCGAGGTGCGAGAAAGTTGCTGCTGGCGCGGGGTCCGTGAGGTCGTCTGCGGGGACGTACACGGCCTGCACCGAGGTGATCGAGCCTGCTGCTGCTGCAGCAATCCGCTCCTGCAGCAGCCCCAGCTCCGCCGCCAGCGTGGGCTGGTAGCCCACCGCCGAGGGGATCCGCCCCAGCAGCGCGGACACTTCGCTGCCGGCCTGCGTGAACCGGTAGATGTTGTCGATGAACAGCAGCACGTTTTGCTGCTCCTCGTCTCGGAAGTACTCCGCCACGGACAGCCCCGTCAGCGCCACCCGCGCCCGCGCCCCCGGCGGCTCGTTCATCTGCCCGTACACCAGCGCCGCCTTGCTCCCGCTGAAGTCGAACCGCTGCTGCTGCTGCTGCTGCTGCTGCTGCTGCTGCTGCTGCGGGGCCGCGGCCGGCAGCGCGCGGCGCCGGATCACGCCCGTCTGCAGCATCTCGTGGTACAGGTCGTTGCCTTCGCGCGTGCGCTCGCCCACGCCCGCGAACACCGAGAAGCCCCCGTGCTTCTTCGCCACGTTGTTTATCAACTCCATTATCAGCACGGTCTTCCCCACTCCCGCCCCGCCAAACAGCCCGATCTTCCCGCCCTTCGCGTACGGCGACATCAGGTCCACCACCTTTATCCCCGTCACCAGCATTCCTGCGGCACCACCCGCACCAGCAGCGGCTGCAGCAGCTGCAGCAGCTGCGGCGGCTGCGGCGGCTGCGGCGGCTGCAGCAGCTGCGGCGGCGACCCGCTGCTGCTGCACGCAGATATTTGCTAGGGCCCCACCAGTTCACTGCACAATAAGTGGCTCTACGGGCGAAACAAACAGGACGCATCCAACAACTGCCCTCAGCAGCAGCAGCAGCAGCTAGGACCAGCAGGCACCTGCAGCAGCAGATTGCTGCAGCAGCAGAACTGCATGCAGTGGGAAAAGCAACTTAAGAGCATAATTGAGAACTAAACGGAATTTAATGGACGAATCTGGACGAAATAAAACCAAAAACTGAGAACAGACTGTGAAGCTGAACGAAATACAGCCCTTTGCGCACCTTATTTCGTTCAAATTCACACAATGAAGTCGAACCAAATAAACTCAGATGAAATCAACTTCAAGAAAATAAACCACAATCTGATGATGTCCAACAAAGGCGAAGCAAACTGTGCCAAAGAAGTAACAAAAAAAGATGAATTCGGATGGAATTCAAACTAATTCGAACGAAATGAATCAAATAAGAGAAATTTAAATGAAGCAAAGCCACAAAGTCAGGAAAACAAATGAACCCAAATGAAACAATTCCAAAGAAATGAATGAAATAAAGTTTGCAAAAGAACTTCAAAGAATTGCACAAATGAAATGAATTCGAACAAGAAACCTCGAAAATGGACCGACAGTTGCAAAACAATTCCAAAGAAAAAATGAACAAAATGAAATGCACTGAATCCGAAATAAATAATTCAAATTAATTAAATCAAATTAAATCGACTAAATTTAATCAAATTGAATCCAAGAAACATTTCCAAAAGAAACTCAAAACGAGTTGAATCTGACGCGCGGAGCCGAATTGGAGTTTGCGGAAAGCCGAAGAATCTGGCTCGAAACAGGGTCAAAACGCGTCGAATTTTAGCAGAAAGTCTCTAAAACTGAAATAAAACCAAAATGAATTTAAGAAAAAGAATTAAAATTCAAAAAAAAACGAAAAATGACCTGGATCGCCGGCCATGTCTGCGAAAGGCGGCGCCGCGCGGTGAATGGGGTACTTGGTCCGCGCCAGAATCGGCCCGCAGCCGTCTATCGGCTCCCCCAGAACATTCATGATCCGTCCTAAAGTTTCCGGCCCCACGGGAACCTGAGCAGCAAACAAAAGCATTTCGAGGATTCAAGTTTGCTGCTGCTGCTCTCTGCTGCATTCTGCTGCATTCTGCGTCGCAAGAGCTGCAGAAAGAGCCCGCTAACGCCCTCCCACGCCCCGAAACTGCTGCAGCAGCAGCAGCAGCAACCGGAACGCCACGCGCAGCAGCAGCAGCAGCAGCAGCAGCAACCGGAACGCCACGCGCAGCAGCAGCAGCAGCGACAGCGACAAAGGCGACAACCGCAACAATGGCAGCAACGCCGCACACAGCAGCAGCAGCAACAACAGGAAGACCAGCAGCAGCAAAACACGTGCAGAAACAGCAGCAGCAGCAGCAACAGCAGCAGCAGCAAATCACTTGAATTGGGGCCCCTGTGTCTGAGACTGGCTGCCCCCTGACGAGGCCCTCAGTGGCGTCCATGGCAATTGTGCGGACAACATTTTCGCCCAAGTGCTGCGCCACTTCGAGCACGAGCCGCTGCGGCTGCTGTTGCTGCTGCTGCTGCCCCTGCTGCTGCTGCTGCTGCTGCTCTTCCGGCTCCAAGTGCACCTCCAGCGAATTCAAAATCGGAGGCAAAGGGCCCTCAAATTCCACATCAACAACAGCGCCAATTACCTGGGCAATGCGGCCCGTGGGGCCCTTCCGGGCCCCGCTTGCTGCTGCTGCTGCTGCTGAGGCCTTGGCTGCTGCTGCAGCAGGCGCAGCAGCAGCAGCTGCTGCTGCTGCTGAGGCGAAGCTGCGCGGCGCGAGGACGCTGCAGCGCGAGGCAGCCGGGGAAAGGCGGCCCCAGATGGAGGCCCCGCGGCTGAGGAGGGCCCGCATCTTGAACCGTAAACCGTAAACCCTAAACCCTAAACCCTAAACCCTAAACCCTAAACCCAAGACCTCGGAGCTCTGAAAGACAAACGCACACTCCAGAACAAGTGGGGGAGCTGCTGGAGCCTTCGCCCCGAGCACCCCGCTGGGGTGTACGTACAGCTGCGCGGGGGGAGCGGGCTCAAAAAGGGTTAATTTAAAAAGGAAAAAACGCAAAAAGTCCTTTCGATTGAGTTAAAACTTAAAGGAACACAAAAAAGCAGCAGCAACGACCCAAAGAGACACGCCCCAGACGCCTTCGCGGCTCACCTGCAAGAGAGCTGTGCTGAGGTGCACGTACACCTGAACAGACCCACTTTTTCGCGATCTCGAAAATCCTTTTTCCTCCTCAAATTAATCTTTTTACAAATCCCCAAAGGACCGACGGCCGGCGCCGACGCTGCACCCAGCAGCAGCAGCAGCAGCAGCTGCTGCTCCTGCTGCTCCTGCTGCTCCCGTTTCAAGCATGCTGCCGCTGGCTGCTGCAGCGGCTGCTGCTCCCACAGCCCTTTCTGCTGCTCCTTCTAATTCAATTAACTCATCAAAAGGCAAACTATTTAATTTAGTTTCAATTTCTTTATTTTAAATTGCCATTTGCTGTTGAAGAAGGAAAGCTGCGGCACGGGGGCTCTGCCGCTGCAGCAGCCGAGAAGCCGCTTCGTGGGGTGTCTTTGCTGCTGCTGCACATTCTGCTGCTGCTGCTGCTGCAGTTCCTGCTGCACAGTCTTCTGCTGCTGCACATTCTGGTGGTGCTGCTCAATTTGCTGCTGCAGCTCGGTGTGCTGCTGCGCCTTCGCTGGTTGTCTGCTGCTGAGCAGAGCAGCCGTGGAGCAGCTGCTGCTGCTGCTCTGCAGCGGAATGCAGCAGCAGCAGCAGCAAAGTGCTTCTCAAGGAGCAGCAAAAAGTGTTTTAGAGGCCCAACAGTGGCACTTGATCCACACCGTGCTGCGCTGCAGCAGCACAGCTGCAGTGTGCACTTACTGAAGTTTCCTGCTGCTGCTGTTTGCCCAATCTGCTGCTGCTGCAGCAGATTGGGCCACTGCTGCCGCAGCAGCAGCTGCCGCTGCTTCTGCTGCAGAGGCGCAGCAGTTCCCGCTGCTGCTCGATTTTTGTGCAGCAGCAGTTTACTTATTTTTGCTGCTAGATACAAAGAGGTGCCTTGTAAAGGCGGCTTTGCTGCTGCTTCTGCTGCTGCTGCAGTCCGCACAGCAGCAGCAGCACCCACAGAACGAGCCACGCAGCTGCAGCAGCAGGTGCACCGCTTTGTTGCCGCGGCTCTTTCTGCTGCTGCTGCTGCTGCTGCACATTAGTAGGAAGCTAGTGACCCTCGAAATACTGCAGCAGGCTCTGAAGCAGCAACCGGCATTGCTGCTGCTGCTGTGGGCAGCAGCTAGCGACAATGCTGCAGCACTACCGAAGCAGCAAAAGGACATTCCAGTTTGCTTCTCTACATTTGCTGCAGACAGCAGCAGCACAAGCGCCGCTGCCGCTTCTGCTGCAGCAGGAGCCCGGAAGCAGCAACACAGCTGCGGGCACGGGGGCGCCACTGCTGCTGCAGCAGCAGCAGCCAGCAACACGGCAGCAGCATGCTGCTGCAGCTCGTTTCAGGCTCTCTCGCAGTTGAGCGCCGCTTGAGAAGCAGAAAGCCAAGAGTTTCGTTTTGCTGCAGTCTGCAGCAGACCTTTTTAAAGCAGCAGCAGCAGGTGCTCCTGCTGCTGCTGTTGCTGCGCCACTGCTAGCTGCAGGTTCCACTGCTGTAGCAGCAGCGCTTGGCTGCTGCCACGAGACGCTGCAGCAGCAGCAGTAGGTACTGCTGTTGCTGCTGCTGCTGCTGCTGGCGTTGCTGCTGCTGCTGCTGCGTTGCTTCCAATGCCACACCATGCTGGCTAATTCATATTTGCTGCCTTTAAATTAATAATTTAAGTTGCATTTAAGTTTTACATTTGCTGCATTTGAATTGAATTAATATAAATTGCATTTTTTTAAATTGAATTTATTTGAATTTAAAATCATTTTGGAATTGAGATCTGATCCCCCCGCTTCTGCAGCAGCAGCTGCAGCAGCAGCAGCCCGCTTCCGCAGCAGCCTCTACTGCTGCTGCTGCTGCTGCTGCAGCCTAGTTCTGCAGCATCCTCTACTGCTGCTGCTGCTACTGCAGCAGCCTACTTCCGCACCAGCCTCTGCTGCTGCTACTGCTACTGCAGCTGCCTGCTTCCGCAGCTGCCTCTGCTGCTGCTACTACTGCTGCTGCTGCAGCCGCCTGCTTCCGCAGCAGCCTCTACTGCTGCTGCTGGTGCTGCTGCAGCAGCCTACTTCCACAGCAGCCTCTGCTGCTGCTACTCCTGCTGCTGCCGCTGCAGCACAGCTTGTGCATTTATTTATTGGAAAAAAAACAAAGCAGCACAAGTCTGGCCTCAAGAACAAATCTAAAAAAGAGCTGCTGCTAAGTCGGGAGAAAGCAGCAGCTGCTGCTTCGGCCACGCGAGCAGCAGCAGCAAAATACCAGCAGCAAACCTGCAGCAGCAAAGCAGCAGCAGGATCCCTGCAGAAGGCGCGAAAGTCTGTGCACGCACAGGGACCAGCGCGGGCACCAGCACTAGCAGCAGCAGCAGCAGCAGCAGCAGCAGCAGCAGCTGCAGCAGCAGCAGCAGCGTCAGTCTTGGGAGTCTTCTTCTGAGATGCGCAGCGGGACTCGGGGGCCCTCCGGAAGATTCAAAGTTGCTCTTCTGGCTTTATAAAAAAGTTCTTTCAATCTGCTGTTTTGCGCCTCCACCTGCAGTGTACGTACACCCCACGCCCCACACCCTGCAGCAGCAGCTGCTGCTGCTGCAGCTCGAGGCCCCCAGCTCAATGCGCTGCCCGCCGCAAGCCGTGCTGCAGCTGCAGCAGCAGCAACAGCAGCAGCAGGAACACGAGAACCACCAGCAGCAGCAAGAACAGCAGCAGCAACAGCAGCAAGAGGAACAGCAGCAGCAGGAACACAAGAACCAACAACAGCAACAGCAGCAGCGGCAACAGCAACAAAAACAACAACAGCTACAGCAGCACCAGCAACATGAGAACCACCACCACCACCACCGCCACCACCAACAGCAGCAACAACAGCAGCAGCAGCACCACCACCACCGCCGCCACCACCCTCACCAGCAGCACCTTCAGCAGCAGCAGCAGCAGCAGCAGCAGGAGTACCTGGTTCTGCGCTGCAGTGTGGGGGTTGTGCTGCGCGAGTCGCTGGTAGTAAGCCCTGAGTCTGTCTTCGTTTTGGTCGAAAGTCTTCAAAAAGAAAATAGTTAAAAAGCTGCAGCAGCAAAGCGCAGCCCAGGAAATGGCCCGGGTTTGGCTGCGCGAGCGCCCGGGGAAGAACCTGTACCGCGGCTGCGCGGGGTCTTCTTTGCGGTGCCGATCGAACGTCATTCTGCGCCAAACACTCCGAATTGATCCCAGTTGTCCAAATAATGCCAAAGAGTTCAAAAGAGTTCAAAGTTTGCGACAAAAGGCGCTTTTTTGCGCGAAAAAAGACCCGTTCTTCACCCAGTTACACCCCAAACGCCGCTCCGAGTTCCTGCTGCTGCAGCAACCCGCCACGAGCAGCAGGAAGAAGCAGCAGCGCCACGATGCAGAAGCCAATTCGCAATTTGCAAATTCGCAAATTTGCAAACAGAGAAAAAGTCCTTTTGCAAAGTTTTGTTCGCAAGTGGCGGCTGCAGCGCACAGAGGCGGGCTCGCGGGATCATCGGCAGCGGAGCAGCAAACGAGAGCACGGAAATGCCCAAAAGTTGTCTTTTTTTCTAATTTTGAATTCAAAAAAGACTTTTTCTTCCAATTCAATTCATTTAGTCCGTACGTTTCCTCTTCCGGCGGTGAAACCACGAAGGCTGCCGCTGGTCGGACCAGGGGCTGGGGCTGCATGTCAACACTTGCTGTGGGACAACCTCGGGATTTTGCTGCTTGCGGGTTCCAAAGAAAGACTTATTTCCGTTCAAATTCAATTTAATTCTTCGAAATGCTGCTAAGAAAGCAGAAGACACAGAAATTCCCGCATTTCCGCGTTAAGATCGCACAGCCACTCCGTCGGTGGCGAACTCGCGGGCCAGGTGTATGTACAGCTGGCAGCAGCAGCAGATAATTCAGTTTCAAGCAGCCACCGGCTTTAATTACTTCTTTTTGTTGTTTTACACTTCTTTGGAGGACTTTAAATAGTTGTTTTTGCTGTTTTACACTTCTTCGGAGTTGCTTTCCCAGCTTGCTGCTGAAGAACTTGCAATAGATCCAGGAGCGGGCGGCAGTCGCTGCGCAGTTGCAGTTCCGCCTTTTGTTCCTCTTTTAAATAGTTTTTGAAATTAAATTAGCAATTTTTTTGAATATCTTATCATAAGAATGGGCCCAAAATCCATTTATTTGACAATCCGCCATTTTCTTGTAAGTAGCATTCAGTTTAGAGCTGCTGCTGCAGAGTACTGCAGCAGAAGTGCCTTTGGCTGCGCGGCAGCTTCCAGTTGCTGCTGCTTCTCTGGCGAACTTGTGCTGCAGTGCGGCTTTTGATAGCTGCTGCTGCTGCTGAAGGCGCAGCAAAGGCTGCCAAATCCGGAGCCTCATTTGCCCCATGCAGCAGCTAGCAGCAGCAGCAAATCTCAGCAGCTCGTAGCAGCTGCTGCAGCCGCCCAGGGGCGCCTATTCTCATTTGTGGCGCTGCAGCAGCGAAGCAGCAAACAGAACTCGAAAAGACAGAAGTGCTGCAGCAGCCAGCAATTCGAGTTGCTGCTGCTTCCCGGAAGGGGGCTCTGAAGCTCTAGATGCAAAGAGAAACTGCTGTTGCCGCTGCTACTGCTGGTGCTGCTGCTGGAAGTAACCAGCTGAGGCTACTCGAGGGCGGGCTGCAGCTGCGCTGCTGAAGGGCCCCAGCAGCAGCTCCTCTAGGGCTGCTGCTGCTGCTGCTGCTGCTGCTGCTGCTGCACTGACTGCTGCGGCTGTTTTGGCTCTCCTGCGCGCTGCTGCATGCAGTTAAAGAGGAAAAGACTCAAATACAAAAATAGACGAAATGCTAGTTAACTAACTTCACCTTTGCTTTTGCTGCTGGAGTGCAGCCCAGACGCAACTGGAGGGTATTCTGCAGTTTGCTGCAGCTGCTGCAGCAAGGTGTAGCTGCTGCAGCTGCTGCAGCTGCTGCAGCTGCTGCTGCAGTTGCCGCAGCGGCTGCAGCTGCTGCGTTTCGGGTCCCTTCTTAAATGCGAGAAACGAAGAGGACAAGAGTCGCAACGAAAGACAAGATGGGAGGCGCCCTTTTGGGCTGCAGCAGCAGCAGGAAGCAGCAGCAGCAGCAGCAGCAGCAGGAAGCAGCAGCCAGCTTGCTTCAGGCGCCGCTGCTGTTGCTGCTGTTAGCTCCAATTCAACTTTTCAAAAAGCTGCAGCAGCTCCCAGACGACGCAAAGATCTCTCAGCCTCTAAACTCGGCCCTGCTAGCGGCTCTGTCGCCTCGCAGCAGTAGCAGCAGCTGCTGCTGCTGCTGCTGCGGCTGTGCCCTGCGCCCAGCTTTCTGCAGCAGCAGCTGCTGCTGCTGCAGCAAGCTGCATGCTGCTGCGCCTAGAGTTTGGAATGGCTGCAGAGTGTTTGAACTTTGCGTAAAGTGGAACTCCGCAACTTCACATTTTTGAAACTTTTGCAACTTGGGGAACAATCTGCATGACGCCGCCAACTCCCGAGCTCAGGAGTTTTATTTCTTCAGCAAATATCTCTTCTTTTAATCCCCTGAAGAAAAATTAAAATAAAAAGGAAAGAAATAAAGAAGACCTTCGTTCTCCGCGCTTTGCAGCGAGCCCCGGCAGCTGCTCCAGCTGCTGCAGTTGCTGCAGCTGCTGCAGCGCAGCAGAAGCGGATTGCAGCTGCAAGTAAACACTCCGGCGATGGCGAAGAGAAAACTTAGGAGTTAATAAACTTTTAAAGTCTTTTTCTCATTTTACCGACCCACTTACTTGTACAGAATTTTGCTGGCTCCTCTGGGAGCTTCGCGAGCTGCCAAGGCTTGGGCTTGCTGCAGCACTTCGCCTTCACACAAGAAACACCCGCCCAGCCCCCCGATCTCCCCCGAAAATAACTCTTTTCTGTTGCAAAAAGACTAAATAAATCTTATTTAGAAGACTAATTGCAGAAATGCTGCTGCTGCTGCTGCTGCTGCGTGGCCAGAGGCTGCGCAGCAGCAGCTACCGGGAAACAGAGGCCGAGCTGCAAAAGCCTGTTTGAGAAGAATATTCTTCGAATTTGTCACGGTTATAGAGTGTTTTTTAGACATTTAAGTTTTAAAAGTAGTATAAGTTCTTCAAGTTCTCCAGCTGCTTCCTCCTTAAGGCTTATTTCAGCTTGAAGTGAACGCCCGAGCAGCAGCGCAGGGAGGGCTGTGAACTTGAACGCCCAAAGCCTTTCGTTGCCTCACTAATGCTGGCAATACTTCACACTAATTCATATTAATTTAAAAAAAGATTTTTTTCGAAATCTGAATTCGGAGTGTGGCAAGAAAGCTCTGACCTGGGTCGCAAGCCGCGTCGACTATGCGGCTTCGAAGGCAGTCTTCGCCGGTCCATCTTCGGGCCCCCAGAATCGTAGAGGCCCACAAACTTCTGTCGATTTTGCTTTTAATAATTGCGCACATGCCTGCGTCGCAAGAAGGAGCAAAATGTGTCTGGTTTGCTTGCTGCAGCGCAGCAGACCGGCTGCTGCTGCTGCTGCTGCGCTGCTGGGGAAGCAGCAAACTCGCACCTGGCGTCAGAGGCAGCCCGTTGTCTACTTCGTTGATGCACAAAAAGCCTCTTTTCCTGTTCATGACGCGAAAGTCGCAAGCAAGGGCAAGCATGGCTCCTCCTGCAAACTGCGGAGCAGCACAGCAGAAGCCGGGGAGGGCTCAAGCCCACAAGATAGGGGCTGCGGAGGCGCTGAGAACGGGAAAGCTGCTGAAATTAATATCATTTAATAATAGTGGACTTACTGCGTGGCCGTTTATGGCTGCTACGAGGGGAACTGGAAAGGAAAGCAGGCGGCTGAGAACTGACGGAGAAGCAGCAGGCGCGTCGAGCAGCACAACCACTTGAAAAACATGAATTTCGGATTTTCACTCTGGGATTTTTAAGGGCTACGGGAATAGTGGGGATTATGAACTGTCAATAAATCCTTCTGAAATGCATATCGCACCATATTTGGTCCTTGTTTGGCTCGCAAAGACCAGATGTGCATCAGGGTCTAAGGAATTCAAGTTTCAGCTCACGGCAGTGAAAAGACCCCAAAAGCTCCTTCGGCTGCGCCATTAGAACGTCAAGATTGAGGCCGTTGCTAAAGAACTTTCCTTCGCCCGTTATTACGCAGGCTGTAGGGCCGTCCTTGGCTTCTGAAGAACAAAGACTCAGATTGTTTAAGTTTCTGGAAAGGAAAGCTGGCGAATCTGAATACGGCGGGGCCTCTTCAGGCGCGCACCTATTTTTGTTAGAAGCTGCTCGATGTCCTGGATGAATTCGAAGTCAATTCGGTTTTCATTTGTGCCAAGATGAATTGTGTAGACACCCCCCTGTGAAGGACCGAGCAGCTTGGGGTACTCCATGGTGAACGACTTGTGCGGGAGACGAGAAGGAACTTGCAGATTACAAATATAAATGTGGTTTTCAACAAATAAAATTAGTTTTAAGAAATAAAATCCGGCGCAGCCGACGGTTCTTTGCAAGAAGAAGCGCAGCAGGTGGGCTGCGGTGACCCAGCCCACGGGAGTGGCGGGGGTGGTTCTGCAGCATTTTCGGGGCGGCAGTTCTTTGAATTTTCGCCGAAATAACAGTAAAAATGGCTTTTAAAAGCCTTTGCATTTGACTCAAAGACAAGATTCCTCAAATAAAGAATGCTTCCTGGACGAGACTGGTCCACCGGCGTTCTTGCCTGGTGCCCACTGGTCAAGTTGAACTGCATCTTCCGATGCGTGTCGAATCCGCTTTTTCTTTGCGAATAAAGCTATTTCTAAAACTCAAAAATGCCTTTTGTTTATGAAAAAGGTCTGCAAATAAATTAATTTCTAAAATTTAGAGATCCCTTTTCTCCACGGAAAAGGCTGCTGGCAGTGCGGAGTGTCGGGAGCGCCGACACTGCAGGACAGCTGAAGCGCGGGCAGCCAGGCCGCAAGTAAAGAATTAAAAATGCATTTTCCGCACTTTTTTTGAAAAATCTGCATAACTCTTATTTTCTAAACAATTGAGCTCTTCAGAGGAGCGAGGGACTGGCTAGAAGCCCCGAAAGTGGCGAAAACTGCAGCCAAACTCTAGTGGCACTTAGTCTGCAGCGGAGTGAACTCCTCTGTTTGCTGCTGGTTTGCTGCTGGGCGAAGCATAAAGGTGAAGTTTTGCGTTTGCACTTCGCTGCAACTGTTCTCGCGGGCCGCCAGCCTGCTGCCGCAGCTGCTGCAGAGCTGCTGCAGAGCTGCTGCAGAGCAGCAAGTGCAGCACTTTCTGCTTCCCCGCCTGCTGCTGCAGCAGCAGCGGCGCTCCTTGGCCTGGCCCTAGCGGCGAACAGGACCAGTGGTTCATCTGGGGGGAGGTTTCCCTGCTGTGAACGCGCTGGGCAAATTCGAGTTGGAGTTCTCCGGCCGCTGCCGCTGCCGCCGCTGCTGCTGCTGCTGCAGCTGCAGCAGCAGCAGCGCCGCCGCCCGTGGCCTGCGGCTGTCTTGATGTTTTTTAAAATGCGAAATGGCTCAAACCCCTGCCTGCCTGCCGGTGCTCTGAGAGTGCACTTGCTGCTAGCTGGGGCTCTAGCTGAGGGTTCTGGCCAGCTAGCTGGCCAGCTAGCTAGCCAGCCAGCCAGCTAGCTAGCTAGCTAGCTAGCCAGCTAGCCAGGGCTCTTGCTTAGGGGCGTGCTGCCACCACATGGTGGCCTTGCTGCACGAAAAAAACGAGCGCAGCCCACAAATGCACATGAAGAGACTTTTGGGGATTTGAAGAAAGAAATGAAATGACTGCAAAGAAGGAAAAGAACTTGGGCGCTCGACGGGCTCGGGTGTACAGACACTCGAATTGAAACTGCGGAACGCGCGCCCCTCCTCCCCCATCGCCCTCTGTGGGGCTCTTGAAAGACACGCAAAGCCACGAGCTGCCGTGCCGCTGCTGCTGCTGCTGCTGCTGCAGTTGGTGCTGCTGCAGTTGGTGCTGCTGGTGTCCTCGCTGCCGGCGCCCCTGGCACCGCTGTCGCTGCTGTGCGCAGATGGCTGCCGGTGCTGCTGGCGCCCTGCAGCGGGCGCTGGTGCTGTTCGCTGCTGCTGCTGTTCTGGAGCTGCTGCTGCTGTTCCGGAGCTGCTGCTGCTGTGCTGCTGCTCTGTCCCGCTGCTGCTGGCGGCTCGGGCGCGCAAGTTTGCGCAAAAATTCCGCGGAAGCGCGGAAGTCCGGGGAAAGCGGCGGAAGGGCGGGGAGGGAGGGCCCGGGGCCGTGGGGTGTACGTACAGCGGTCAGGCGGCGAAGGGCTGGAGGGTGATGAGGACGTAGGGGTAGAAGTCTTCGTTGTCAGTGGGCTCAGAAGTGTCTTTTGCGTAGAATCTGTTGCCAAAAAGGCCGGGAGGAGTGAGGAGGGCGTGGAGTTCCTTGTGGATCTTGGGCTCCTTGGCGGGGTCGAGCGGGCGCAGGAAGAGCGCGACGAAGTTGGCCGGAACGCCGAAGCGCAGCACCGCGTCGCAGAAGACGCGCATGGCTTTCAAGTGGAGCCAAGAAACGAAAATGTCGGAGAAAGCTGCGAAGCAAACGCGGGAAAGAAAGCTTTCGTGTTTGGTCTGCTCGGCGATCGCTCGCGAGCGATGCTCGGCGACGCGCAGGTACACGTGCTCGCTGTAGACGAACTCGCGCACGGCGAAGCCGCGCTCCTTCGCAGCGCTCTTGAAGGCCTCCAGCCCCTTCTTGAAGAGCACCACGCGCCACAGACAGACCCCCTCCTTGTCGGGAGGCACTGCGAACTTCTTCGCGGAGCGCGGGACCACCAGCGGGCTCAGCTTCTCGTAGCAGCGCAGCCACTCGGGCTCGGCCTGCAGCGGCACGCAGGCGACGGCGGTGGTCAGGTGTTCGGAGTCGACGAAGTCTCCGGGCTGGACCACCGCGGGCGTGAGCAGGTCCAGCAGTTCGCGCTGCGCGTAGACCAGTGGTTCGCGGCCGGCCGGACCAGTGGTCTGCTGCCGCACCTCCTGCCACACCGCGACCTTGGCCCGCACCTCCTCCTCCAGCTTCGCCACGGCCTGCACAATCGCCTCCAGGTTCTCGCGGATGGCCCGCGCCTTCGGGAACTTCGCCTCGTCCCACGTGAACCTCCGGATGTACTGCTCCACGCTCAGCGAGTGCCGCTGCCACACCACCTTCAGCTGCGCCTCGGGGTCCAGCTCCAGCGCCTGCCGCTCCACGCGCCGCAGCGCAGCCTCCACCGCGGCGTCTTGGCGCTGCAGCGCGTCGACTGCGCGGATGAGGTCGTCGAAGGAGCCGAATTTGAGGCCCGTGGGCACGTCGAAGAGGCCCACGTCGTCGCACAGCGGCGCCCGCGCGCCCAGCAGCGTGTTTCGGATCTTCGAGTGCACCAGCTCCACCGTCTGGCTCTCCCGCAGCGTGCTCGCCACCAGCCAGAAGGGCGGCCGCGCGCCCCGCCGCCCGTTCTTGGCCTCCCCCGCCCCCGACATTGCCTGCTGCTGCTGCTGCTGCTGCTGCGGCGGCGCTGCGGCGGCGGGCGGCGGCCGCCGCGCCGCTTCACCCGCTAACAAGCTCCTCGCGAAGCCCCCGGCCCCCCACGCCCCGCATGTGCGACGCCGCTGCCGCCCGCTTCGACTTCCAACGCCGACGCGCACTGCGCAGACGCCACTTCCAAGCCCCAGCCCACGACGCCCGCACCCGCTGCCCACCGACGGCGCCCTGCACATGCGCGCTTTCGAAGCCGCTTCGCGCCCCAAACCACTCTCCCCACCTCCAAACGCACAATCCTCCACTTCGCCGCGCTAAAACGCCCAAACGAACCCCCCTGCGCCGCCCCAGAGGCATGCTCCGCAGCGAGCTCCGGCCTGCTGCTGCTGCTGCGTCAACGCCGCCCGCTGCCCATACACCCCAACCAGCACCCGATCTCCAGCGAAAATCCTCTTCAAATGAACATCCCCAACGACCAAACAACTTAGTGCTCGCTTAATACTCCCCAATTCCCCTGCAGATCCTCCACACGCCCTCTCCAGCCCGCTTGGGGCTGCTGGCAGCGAACTGCTGCAGCCCGCGACAGCTCTATGCCCGCGGCTGCCGCCCCAGCCAGCCACAATCCTCTCCACCCTACACCCTTTCCAGACCGCTCTAACCGAAGTAAATTGAACTTTTGCCTTTTTTTGCAGCTTTATGACGCTTTGCGACCCGCAGAAGGGTGCAGATCGGACGCACCGCTCAAGGTGACGCGCAACGCCGTGGGGGCCACCCACGGCTGCACGAACTGCCCCTCTCCCCCTATAATGGCCAGCAGCAACCCACACCCACGCACACACAGGCAGCCCGCGCTGACAGCCTCGCAGCAGGGTAGCACTCTGCTGCAGCAGCACGTCTCAGTAGCAGCAGCCAGCCACAGCCGCAGCAGAGAGCAGAGAGCAGAGAGCAGAGAGCCACAGCTCCTCCGCAGCGAGCCCCCAGCAGCAGCAGTTCTGTGAGCCATAAAGCCCAACAGCTGAAAGCTAAGTGTGAGGAACTGCGCATGCGCATGCAGAGAAACAGCCAGCTGCCCCGCGGGTTTCAGCGGTGGCATAGAGCTGTTGGCCAAAAGGCTAACGGGCACAACAAGTTCAACAAGTAATCGACAGTTTGAAACTTCTAAGAAAAGGGCTGAGCCCAGAGCGTTTCTAGTGCGCATTAAAGGGGCCCCAAAAGCCCCTGAAGTTCGGTAACAGAAACGTTGTTAAGAGCCTTCCTGGAAAAAAGAAAAAAGTGGAATTCAATAATGTGGGGCTATTGGCCCGTCTGCAAGCCTGGGACTTGAACAGCTTTGCCCCAGTACACAACCATGTGCCAAAAGTGTTGTATTAAATATGAAGAACTGAAAACGGGTCAAACAAAAGCTCCATAGTAGGCCCTGCGTGCCACAAAGAGTTAAGTTACTGGGGGAGTCTGAATAACGCTGAAAAAGAAATTAAGTTGGGAACACCGTAGAGCTCGCAGATGTGATAAAGCGAGCCACGTTAGAGCCAAAAGATGAGTTCCTATTCCTCTGCTACGCAAAACTTGCTAGGAAGTGTGTATGTTAATGACGAACCAGCGAAATTGCAGAGCTGCAATTGAGGAAGCCGCAAAAGCCCTTCCTTGCCTCAACTGACCCTCGCTGGCCATCAAAGAGAGGCCGCTGAAGTGCCTAGGTGGCACCCATGCTGCAGGGAGAATGGGCGAAGGCTGCACTGGTAGGGCTGGACCAGGCGTGCAACTTCGGCGGGGAAAAAATGGTCCAATGGACCGATCTTCGGGGATTTTAAGTGCAGAGACGAGGCTCGTCGAGTACGAAGCAGCGGTGTAGTCTGCCTCCAAAGATTTTCAAGAAGTGAATAACAAGTGTCCGTACAGGAAAAGTAATTCGTACTTCCATGACAACCTTTTGCCGCCTTCTCTCCGCTAGCAACTGCGCCCGGTGCAGCGGCAGTCTTGAGCAACACAGGCGCAACAGTTATGTTTTGAGGAGTCTAGATACTATAGCGTACCCGCAAAATCCGTACAAATGCCGTAGAACATGCAATATCGCTTCAACGCCATCCGCTAACTGGGCGGAATTGTGCTCTAGCATTGCATATGGGTGAGAAATTCTAGATATCAGCCCTCTGCTCAACAAATGCAGGCATTCCCCGCTTCAAAAAACTCACTTAGCCCATTACAGTCAGCTCTTCTTGAAGCTGAGGAGAGCTTTAAATATTCCAAAAGCCTAACACAGGATTTTTCTTCAAAGCTGCAGAAGCTTCAGCCGAGGACGAGAACCTGTCACAAGAGAACCATACTAATGTTCCTCTCTTTGGGTTTGCCAATATATTCAAGCTCCCTACAGTCACAACTCCAATGGTGCTTCTTGATAAGACGGTATAAGGAGAGCTTTTTTTGTTCGAAGTTCAACATGGAGGTAAAGGCTCCGCCAGAACCAGTCAAGATCAACTGCTTGCTACGCTGTCTTGTATCGATCAAAGACAGGCACAATTCGCCTCCAATTACTGCTAGCTCGTTTGTTTTGTCACCTCGCGTAGGGAAATAACAGCTAAGTGGTGAGGCAGTTCAGATGTTCTTAAAGTGCAACTCCTGTGTCTGCGTACTAAGGCCCGAAAAAAAAATAGACTGACTCTGTCGGCGAGGTGAAGTGGGCAGCTGCGGCAAACACGTTTCTAACCTAAAGAGATGCTGGGTTACACGAGGCCACAGAGGGTCTAGACTGAAGCAGAGCAGTATTACACATCAGTGCGCCATGCTGCTCGTTTCCCCCTGACTTTTAAAACTCAAACTTAGTACACAGTGTTACGTTTTGTGTTTCCGCTTCTGTTCGTTTCTCCTACACATGTTGCAGCTGCACACATTACACTTCGGGGCGTTGTAGGATTATGATTCCCAGCATTTCCCCAGGCCCTTAAGTTGCCTCACCACCGCATCTCCTGCGGAGCACCCACTTTAATAAAGACTGTTGGGACCGAAGCCCAAGACAAATGGAATATAATGGTATCAGGCTCGCAGCATTTGCCACATGAGGTGATATTTTGAGCGTCTGTGAAATGCGCTCGCGTGCCAGGGAGAAATGTTACTTTCGGCCGCAAACAGCTACAAAGACAAAGAGTGTTATCTCCTCTCCACAAACTCGAAACGGTTTGACCTTAGCTTCTACCCATTTGGCTACTTAGCTGTTATCTGTGCAATCCCTTTTTTCAGTCAGTGGGCCTCATAGGGCTGCAAAAAGCTGCTCACAAAGCGGAATGCTGCCCAACTCACAAGCCATGCGCATTTGATCTGAGAAGGTCTGCCTTCCACTCTACAATAGCGCTATGCAAGACTCTGAATATACTATCTTCCTTGCGTATTAATACGGTATACAGACAGCCCTTGTGGGAGCATTTGGCTCCAGGTGAGGAGTCAGTGGCTGCCCCAGCCAGTCGGCGTCGCAGAAAAGATCCGGACCGGGACCTGGCAGTTCCGTTTCTCTTATGTGTCCCATTGTTGACAGCGTACAGCAGGTTTTAGACAATTCGCGCTATAAAACCGGCAAGTTCACGACAGATGTGTCAGAGACGCGCAGTCTCTGGGCAGTCCACGCGTCTCGTAAAATTGCACAGGGCTGGAGGGCCTCCCAAATACAGTAGTATTCAACAAAATATCAAAGTCAGCGAAAACAGAATAGTTTAAGCATACTGCGCTGGAGCAACAGGTCGCGCAACATCGACGCAGGCGGCCCGTTGTGTCCGTCTACATTCTACATCAGCAGGACCCACACCTTCAAAAATTGAGAACTAACTACTACGCTGTGAAAGGCAAAGGCATTGCTGGAGGCAAAGGGCAGAGATACGGTAGGACAAAGCCTTTGGCGGACCCGTTTCTGCCACTGGCCGCCGCTAGATGGATGCCATCAGGATCTGCCTACTTGGAGCGCAGAGTGTCCCATCTCCCTTTACCCCCACTTAATGCCGTTTCGAAGTGCCTCCTCTGTTAACGGCGTGCAGGCTGGCGAGTTAGGCTGCTTGCAGACCAGACCTGTAATGCACGGCACTACAGTGTAGCCCAGAAATAGCATTCAGGGTCATACAATTCAGGATGCGTGCTTTGAGGTACTAGTTTCAGCCAATAAACGCCTATAGAGACTTAGTACTCGGACGATGAGGCCTCCTGTTGAGTGCAGGAGGTAGGGCTGCCGAGAAACACTGAGGCTTCAGCTTGCCGCACGCTCACGCGCTGGCGTAGAGGCGCCTCAGGAAGACCACTGAAGACCACTGCTACCATTTTAAGGCTTCTTTACCACTTTGTGCTGACAGCGGCCGCTAGCTGCCTTTTCAGTAGGCCAGTGTGCATTTGTCTGTTTGCTCTGCTTCGCTCTAGCATGCGTTTTGTCTTTCGGTTTCGCTTGCCAACTGCCTTTGAGCTGCCGTTGTAGTGGCCGCGCATGCTGGGGCATTGATTATGCTGGTGCAACTCTTGCGGAATCCGGCCACGGACCGCAAGCTAAGCTGTAGCACAGACACACCACAATAGTTCCATAATAAGCCTACAGTGAGCCTATAGTGATTTGTTCCGTGGGAAGAACACAATATAATGCAATATTAGTATCAGGTCAGATCAATTAGGCAGATGATAGAGCCACCTAGCTATTAAAGCCAGCTAACTATAAGAGACTCAAACTGCTAGGAGCGGCAACTTGTAGCGCCAGAAGCCTATCAAGGTTTTGACGACTGACTGAAATGCAAAAACGCCGACACAACTTAGGGGGTCAGAGCAGAGGCAGATGTTTTTGTGGTCTCCTTTTCATGAAGAAAAAGGACTAGAAACATGACTTGAGACTAATTATGTGAATTTAAATGGTGTTTGCGTGATTTATCAGTAAGCTTCTCGCAGAAGAGCACTTTGGCGTGTGTGTTGTGGCAGCAGTGAGTCCGCCCGAGCGCTACAGCAACGTCTGCAGTCGAGGTTTTAGAGAGGATGCCTCTCGAGATGCCTTTGGGCCATCTTGAGCTTTATGTTGAACCTCCGTTGGTGCTTACATTAGTCGCTGCAAGTGACTAAAGGTGCAGCTGGCATAGTTTTGTCAAGTCTTTCTTGCACTGAGGCTTCCGTGAGTCTCGCCTTGTTTGCCTTGGTGTGAGTATAGGAGTATAGAAAATCTCAGGTACAGTGGAGCAAAGGACCAATAAGGTTGTGCCTCTTTAGCCCCATATTTTTAAGGTTGTGGAATGCTACTTGTGACTACAGGTGGCAGTTCTACAGACACATATATTGGGGCATGCCGTTCGCTTCAATGCCTTCATATTTGTTCCCATTAGCAGCCTTATATTTCTGAATAAAATGGTCGCTTTCGGCAGAGCTGCGAATAGAGAGTCTGTAGCCTGCTTGGGTTCAAATCTATGGATCGTCCACAGAGCAGGGACCCCAAGGGCGCATACAGCACACCTTACCACCCCCCACCAGTCAACTACATCGCACACAGCTATCAGTGGCCTTTTATTGTGGAAAAAAATTGAGCCAACTGAAGCGTGCAGCTGCCTGAGAATTATTTAGTTCATAGCCCTACTCTATGTTCCTCTATCGCTATCGCCACTCGGCGCAGCACCTGCGCAAAGGAAAAGAATCCTCCTGCTGTTTGCAAACCACATACTCCAAAAGCAAATCATGTCTTTAGTTAGCAACAATTGAACTTGTGGAATTCCAGGCCCATATTGTAAGTATCAAATAAGCTTGCAGATGCCTCAGGCGCTTCGTTTTAAACGAAGGATGGAACGGTTGCAGTGGGGACTTCAGTTCCTGCAAGATTCACTCTGCACGACTCAGATGATTGCCCTGTCACACATACTCCTCACTTTTTTCTCGAGTGTTGGATACTTGGAGAACGCTTCCAAAACAACCTTTTCTATATGTACAGGATCCGCTTACGTGGACCAACCTGTGTGTTGCTGGAAAGTAGTTGAAGGACTTCAATCTGCCACTGCTCTGGTGGCAGAAGCCTAGCTTCGCATGGCCTTGATGCGTATGAGTCCCAGACTCACCGACATACGTGAAAAGAAGGAATAGGCTAAACTAGATTTTCTAAAACGAAAGATTTGCGGCGTCTGGCCATGCATCAGCTGATCCCTTAGACCTCTTCCCTTGTCTTTGAAAACACTCTTTTAATGCTCCTGAATTCGGCAGTAGTGTTAAGCCAAAAAGCCGACCCGACTAGATTCAACCCTAATATGCAAAACTCGCTGCCAAGCCTTCCTCTCTTCCCGAACAGAAGAGCGCTAGTTGCGGCAACGGCGTGTGCAAGTCCAAAAGAAGTGGGCTAAACTTAAATAAAGGGGGACTATCATCCAAAAAAACAATTTGTAGGAGCTGCAGCTCCATTGATTGTACTTAGAGTTCCTTTCTGAAGGCGATTTTGCTCTCTGAAGCGGTGCTAAGGCCCTGACATTCAATGTTATCGTAGACCAAAACCAGGTAGTAACGTAGTTTATTATTCATTCCAGTAATTATGCATGAAGGGTCTTGAGTGACAAAAGTGTGGACTTTCGGGTTGGCCATGTGGCCCCTCTAAGCCCAGCAACGAGTTTTGCTGGCGATTTGGACACTGTGAGTGAGCAGCAGTGTACGTACACCTGAACGCCGAAAACTATTTAGATTGCGGTACTCTGTTAACATCAGTTTGAAGTATCTCTTAAAGCCTAAGGCCTTCGTGAAAAGCCCGAAAACGGGTGATACCAGTGAAACCCGTACAACTCCAACTAAAGCTGATGCTTGGTGGGGAATGGCCCCGAACTTCGGGGCTTGGCCGCGGGCATAAGGAGCCCCAGGCCTGTTGCTGGGGCGCGGGGTATATAGTTTAGAAGCAGCTTTTGAGTTGGAGTGCAGCCGCTGGAGCAGCCAGAAGCTGGGAGCCCGCTGACCCGCGCCCACAGCCCGCGATCCCCGGCCAGGAGATCCACGCCTGCACTCGAAGGCGCTGCGTGGAGATATATAAGGCTGCGAAGAAGCAGCAAGAGAGCCAAATGGCGATAAGAGAAGACCCGCTTGGCCCGCTGGCGCCCGCCGGGCATGCAGACCTAAGGGGTGGTGGGCCAGGGCACCAACGGGCGGAACCCTGCGGCGGAGGCGCGGGAGAAGAGCGAAGTACGAGAAGAAGTTTAAATAGTTTCGGCGGAGAAGTCGCAGAATTAAAAATTGGGGGCCAAGAGCATCGCAAGGAAGCGCCGCAGCGCCCGGGCGAAACGGCCCGGTGTGGGTCTCGCGGGGTCTGTAGGGGCTCTCAGGTCTCGAATTTAGAAGAAGAGGAATATACTAATGGTTTTGTTTGTGCAGAGAGGGGTAATTTTGAGAATTGAGGAGGAAGAGAAAGGAAAAGCCCCGTTGCGGTTGCTAGCATGACGCAGGCTGCAGCATAAGCGCCCACAACAGCAGCAGCGGTTGCAGCAGCAGCTGCGTTGGGCGTCTGTTTCTGCATGGAGCTGTTTCGCGTTGGTGGCCGTGTCTGGTTAGAATTAAATGTTACTGTCTTAATTAAATTGGTTCCTTAGGCGTTGTTCGTTTCGGGAGTCTTGAAACTCCGGCTGCTTCTTCTCTGCCGGGCCCCTCCCCACCGCTGCAGTCGCTACACCGCGACAGGAAGCTGTGCTGCTCTTCGCGGCCGCCTGTCCGATCTGGTTGTTTATTTCTTTTTCCCGGATTGCTGATTGTCAGCTGTGCCCTCCGCGAGGCCTCATTTGCCCGTTGGCGGCTTTTTGCTCCCGCTTTCCCCCGCATGCCTCCGTCGGGTTCGGGTTTCGGAACGGTGTTCCTTTAGCTCTGTGCATCTGCTGCTGCGCTGGCGTTGCCCGTTGCCCCGCGAATTCGAGTTGGCTCTTTGTCTCTTTCTTTAATTCCACGATGGATGGAGCATCAACGGCCCTGTCGTCGGCCCCGCCTGCGGACGCCGCGCCGGCCAAGTACATTCCGCCTCACCTTCGTCGACAGCAGCAGCAGCAGCAGCAGCAGGGCTCCGCCGCGTCCGCGGCGTCTGCGGCTTCTCCCTCGGTATCTTCTGCTGCGAGTTACCCGTCGTACCCTTCGGGGGGCACTGGGGGCTGTTCCGCGGGCCCCGGGTTCTCGGGGGCCCCCGGGGGCCCCCGCGAGGGCTCCATGAACGGCCGCCGGGGGGCCCCGGGGAGTTCTCCGGAGTCGCGGAGCCGGTTCAGTTGTTTGGCGGAGCGTCCGTCTCCGTCGAGCGAGTTCCGGGGGGCCCACCAGGACGGGCGGGCGGGGGCGGGGGCCCCGGGGGGCCCCCCGGGGGGCGCGTCGGGGGGGGCCCCCGGGGGGCCCCCCGGGGGCCCCGCGGCCGCGGACGGGCTGCCCGCGGGCCCCAGGGGCCCCGGGGCCCGCGGGGCCCGCAACAGCCACACAGGCACCGGGTGGGACGTGCGGGACGGGCGGGCGTTCCGGAGCGACCGGCTGAGCGAAGTGTTCAGCCCCGAGAAGCAGCAAAGCACGGGAATAAAGTTCGACGCGTACGACAAAGTGCCCGTGGAGTTGAAGGGGCGGGGCTGCGAGAAGATCCTGCCGGTGGAGTCCTTCGAAGAGATTGGCTGCAAGTTCTCGCCGCTGCTGATGGAGAACGTGGCCCGCGTGAACTACAGCAGGCCCACGCCCATTCAGAAGAACTCCATTCCCACCATTCTCGCGGGCCGCGACCTGATGGCCTGCGCGCAGACGGGCTCCGGCAAAACGGCGGCTTTCCTGTACCCCATCATCGCGCAGATGCTGCAGACGGGGCCCCCCCCGCTGCCGCCTGCGGAGCGGGGGGGCCCCTCCTCCTACAGGCGCAGCGTGTACCCTGTGTGCCTCGTCTTGTCGCCCACGCGCGAGCTCGCCATGCAGATCTACCAGGAGGCCCGCAAGTTCCAGTTCGGAACTGGAATCCGCACTGTTCCCGTCTACGGAGGCTCCCAAATCAAAAAGCAACTCATGGACTTGGACGCGGGCTGCGACATTTGCGTCGCCACCCCGGGCAGGCTCGCAGACGTCCTTGAGAGGCGCAAGGTCGGCTCCTGCTGCTGCTGCTGCTGCTGCTGGGTCGCGGCCGATCTGCTGCTCCTGCGTGGAGCTGGCTTTCAGGCTTTGCGAGGAAAACTTGGCTTTGGCTTTTGCTTCTTATTTCCCCGCCTGGGGAGCAGTCTGGCCGCTGGACGCCGCAGCTCACGGCGCTCGCGGACTCAGCCGCATTTCTTGAACAGAGTCGCATGCGCAACCGATATTGCATTTCCGTGGTTCCTTTTGTGAATGCGAATAATGCGGCGAAATATGTTTGCTGTTTAACTTTCATCTGCTGCAGTGGACTGAGGTGTCGTGTCTGCAGAGGAAACGGGCGATTCAAGTTTCCCGGTCTCGGGTTTGTGATCTATGTTTTTTCGCGGATTTCGTTCGGCTTTTTTTGCATTATTCGGTTTTATTTAACTGTTTTTGCGTATTTGGGGCGCAGCAGCTGGAGATGTGTGCGTTAGCTGCTGGTTCCTGGTGGTTGCTGCTGCGTGCAGATTCGCCTGGCGCTGGTGAGCTACTTGGTGCTGGACGAGGCGGACCGCATGCTGGACATGGGATTTTTGCCGCAAATAAAGTCGATTGTGGACGACTTTGATTTGCCTCCGTGTCCTTCTCCGGGTTCCGTTTCGGGAGAGGGTCCTGGAGGTGTCAGGGGCCGTCAGACGATCATGTTTTCGGCGACGTTTCCGAAGGAAATTCAAATGTTGGCGAAGGATTTCATGCACGACTACATTTACCTGGCGGTGGGCCGCGTGGGGAGCACGAACGAGTTCATCCGGCAGCGGCTGCTGTACGCCGACGAAGACCAGAAGATAAAGTTGCTGGTGAATCTGCTGCGGGAGTCGGAGAAGGGGCTGGTGATAGTCTTCGTGGAGACCAAGAAGAAGGCCGACATGATCGAAGACTACTTGTTGAACGAGTCTTTCCCCGCGATCTCGATCCACGGCGACCGAACTCAGGAAGAACGCGAAGACGCGCTGCGCCATTTCAAGTCCGGCCGCCGGCCGATCTTGGTGGCCACCGACGTCGCCGCGCGCGGCCTCGACATTTCAAATGTCAAACATGTTATAAATTACGACTTGCCTTCCAACATAGACGACTACGTGCACCGGATCGGCCGCACGGGCCGCGCGGGCAACTTGGGCTTGGCCACTTCCTTCGTCAACGAGCAGAACAGACCCATTCTCCGCGACTTGCTGCACCTTCTCGAGGAAGCAAACCAGGAAATTCCCAGTTTCCTGCATCCCCTGGTGGTTTCCTGCACTTCTTCTTCGCTGCGGCTCGGCGGCCGCGGCGGCTTCGGCCGCATGGCCAGCAGCAGCAGCAGCAGCAGACTCGGCGGCGCCCCCGCGTCCTTCAGCAGCAGAACTGCTGCTGGCGCTGCAGGCGCTTACTCCATAGGCGGCGGCGGCCGCATGGCTGCTGCTTCGGACTGGCGCACGGAAGCAGCAGCGCCCGGCCGGCCCACGGGCTTCACTGCAGGCATTGGCTTTGCTGCAGACAGAAACCCCGGGCCCGCTCGCGACGCCTGGTAGCTCTGCAGCAGCGCCAGTTGCTGCTGCTGCTGCAGCAGATGAGGCAGCAGCCGCTGCAGCAGATGAGGCAGCAGCCGCGCTGCAGCAGCCGCTGCAGCAGATGAGGCAGCAGCCACGCTGCAGCAGCCGCTGCAGCAGATGAGGCAGCAGCCGCGCTGCAGCAGCCGCTGCAGCAGCTGCGGCGGCGGCAGCGGCGGCAGGTGGGATGCGGGCAGTGTGCAGTCAGACACTCAGCGTGTCTGCCTCCAGGGGCGCCGCCACGCACCGCCAGCAGCAGCAGCAGCAGCAGCAGCAGCAGCAGCAGCAGCAGCAGCAGCAGCAGCAGCAGCAGCAGCAGCAGCAGCAGCAACAGCAGCAGCAGCAGCAGCAGCAGCAGCAGCAGCAGCAGGTGTGAGGGCGTTTGTGTCTGTATTGCGGCCGAATTGAATAGAGTTTTGTTTGCAAGGGGGCAGCGGCGAGGCCTCGAGCGGCGCCTCACTTTTGCTGCTCGGCTTTGCGACTGCACATTTACAGAATATGCAGCTTTGCGAGAACTTGCTGGCAACCTGAAGCAAATGTAACTTTACTGGCCTAGTCTAGCAGCAGCAGTAGCAGCAACTGCAGCAGCAGCAGCAGCAACTGCAGCAACGGTGAGCCGGGCGCAGCAAAAAAGTGGCCTACGGCCCCTGGGCGCGCTGCGCGGCCCACTGAGCCGTGGCGCAACGGGGTGCTGCAGCAGGAGCAAGCCTGCAGCAGCAGCAGCAAGCCTGCAGCAGCAGCAGCAAGCCTGCAGCAGCAGCAATCAGAGCCTGGGCTGCGCAGCACTTCCTGGGCGGGTAAGTGCAGACAAAGAAGAGGGTTTGAGAGGAAGCAAAAACACAACCGCACCCTCCCCTCAGCCCTGCCAGCCCCCCGCTGCTGCTGCTGCTGCTGCTGCTCTCTGGTTTTGCTGCCGCACCTTGAGCGCCTCAGAACGGGCGCCGGCAGCAGCAGCAGCAGCAGCAGCAGCGGGGACCAGGGTAGTTTGGGCTGCTGCTGCAGGCGATTGCTGCTGTGCGAGGGCTGCTCTGCTGCGGCTTCCGCCCCACACAAGAAGTGCATAGATGAAATAAATAGAAATGTTTATTTATAAATATATTTAATTATAAAACCTTTTTAGAATATTCACAAAAGAAACAAATAAATAGAGGCCTTCTCGCGCTGTTGCACCCTCGGACCTCTCCTACCGGGGCCCCACAGGTGACCCCCGGAGGGCCCCCAAGCGGGGCCCCCACAGTGGCCCCCAGGGGCCCCCAGGGGGAGTGGGGGGCCCCTTGGAGGGTCCTCTGAGTTCCGAAGCAGCTGCCAATTAAGGCCAAGGGGGCCCCAGGGGCCCCTCTGGGGGCCCCCGGGGGTCTTAGCTATGTGCAGCTAGCTGCAGCTAGCTGCAGCTAGCTACAGCTAGCTGGGAGCCCTAGGCAGCTAGCTGCAGCTAGCTGGGGGCAGCTGTGGCTAGCTG